TAATGAATAATGAGCTATTGGATTAATTTTTATATAGTTGTTACTAATCAACAGAAAACAATTTTTTCCTTTATTATATTTTTTCCATAATTTCATTGAGAAACAAATAGCAGTGAGACAGTTTCAAACCAAATTGGTAGGATAGTTTCAACAATTAACACATGGCATACATTCTTCCTAGTGGTTATTTGCTGTACAAGATGCAGACATGATATCCTATTTACAAACACTATTAGAACAAATCCCTCTGTTCATTAAGAGAATGTAACTATCCTAACCATTTTGAATACACAGATAAAAAATGAACATTCATCTGTATCCCCTTTTTTGTTTACTTCCATTATTTGAATATTATAGATGTGTTAACTCGGCAAAATATTCTAAAAGAGTCCAGTAGTTCATAATAGTGTTGGGTCTTCCACTTCACTGGCAATGTCAGAAATTGTTGACCTGAGTCCCCTACAGCTCAACATAACAACATGGCTTTACTTCTTATACTTCATTTTTATAATTTTCTGCTGGATGGTTAACACCAAGATAAAGCAAGACCTATGCAACAAGAGTTATAGCTTCTGGGTCTAATAAGGTCAGTGAAATCCCCTCAGGATTTATCCTGAGATCCTGTACCTCAGATTGTAGATCCTTTGTCAGTGTCAGCCATGTGGATGAGTCACGGCTAGTGCTTGACCAGTGTGCTCTCTGTGAAAGCCTGATAGAATGTTTTCTCTCCATGTGACTCTCCTTAGGCACATGCTACATCATCGATCACTTTCCTCTTTGGCCCCATAATCTCCTTGATCAGAAAATTTGAGACACTACTGAGTTACATGACATTACAGTACAAGTTCTCATTATGTCCTGAGTCTTACTTGACCTTGGAAGGCTAGGGCCAAAATGTTAGCTGTCCTTGCGGTCCTCATTTTTCTCTAATTTTGGTCCGCAAACTTATGTTGTTAACCCTCCAGATGAGAAGCTTATTGTTATTACCATACAAACTAGGCTGTTAAGCCTAACCTCACTATCTGTCTGAGTATCAAACATCTTAGGCATAACATGGAACAGGTATTTTTCATCAAGTATTGAAATGTTGAACTTTAAGTCCCTGCACAATATGATGAAAAAACATTTAAAAATTAGAATATATTTTAAAAATAGGCATAAAGAATTATATAATTCTTATGTTTACACATAACTTCAGAAATCTAACCATATACAACCTTGAAGCAGGACAGGCCCACAATATTCCGTTTCCTGTCTCCTGCCTTCATTCATCACCCCCTTCTTTTGGAACAATCATCTACCCGAGAGATAGCACAGCAGCAACTAGCATGTCATGACAAGCAGCCCATATTCAGAAGACCAGAATGACAGGCATTCCAAGCATGAACCTACTACTACAAGTTACCATCTGCAGTGCAATAGCTTAGTTCACAGGTGTCAGTGTATATATAGTTAGGGTGATAATCTTTCCAAATAACTGCTAGATTCAAAAATTTTCTGGAGATTCTCAGGATCATTGCCTTGCCTATCTTCTACATATAGCTGTATGGCTTGTCACTATCATGTTTCCTATCTCTTCTCTTTTCCCTCTCTTAATTAGTCCTCAAGTTCTTACTTTCCTTTTAGTTGTATTATACCTTTCTATTTGTATTTCTTCTTTTGAGTTCTTATACTAGGGAAACTATATGATATTTACACATGTGTGTCTGGTTTATTTCACTTATGAGTATATCTGCAAGTGGCATCTACTTCAAAATAAAAGCTTCAAGTTTATCATTCTTTATAGCTGAGTAATACTCCATTGTATAAAAATACCACAGCTTTTTCATCCATTCCTCAAGTGATGGGCATCTTAGTTGTTTCCAAGATTTGGCTATCACAAATTGTGCTGCTATAAACATAGACACACATATATCACAATGATATGATGTTTTCAAATCCTCTGGGAAAATTTCCAGTAGAGGAATAGCTGGTTTAATGGGATTTCCAGTCCAAATCTTCTAAGAAGTCTCCACACCGATTTCCATAACAGTTGCACCAGTCTACATTCCCACCAGCAGTGGAGAAGGGTTCCTTTTTCCCCCATCCTCTCCAACATTTGTTTTTGATTCATTTCTTTATGATAGTCATCCTTTCTGGGGTGAGATAGGTCAATGCTGTTTTAATTTGCATTTCACAGATGGCTAGAGATGTGGAGTAATTTTTCATATATTTATTTGCTTCTTTAATTTCATCCTCTGAGAAGAGTGTGTTCATCTCGGATGCCCATTTCTGGACTGGGTCTTTAAATTTTGGGGTTCTAGTGTTTTTTAGTTCTTTATAAATTCTAGAGAGCAGACCTTTGTCTGAGTA